AGCATATATATATATATATATACACACACATATATATACACCAACCGATGTTATTCTTGTGCACTTCGCACTGTGCACATTATGTCAATTTGAGTGCGTAGACCTTAACTTAAGGCTGCAGTCACATTGAGCGCAATAGAGCGAGCAGGATAGGAATTTTCCCATAAGCGGCTGTGTTAAGTCTATTGCGCCGCGCAATAGGGCTATCCTGCAGCGCGATAGACTTAAGACAGTCGCTTAAGCGTGTGTGTATGACATAGGTGGTGTATGAATCGTACAAACCCAGATTTTGTATTGTTAACGAAGAACATTATATTTTTTTTTATTGAAAATGTTTTTGCTGTTTGACAATGAGGTAGTTGGATAATAAATAATATTAAGCAGCTCATTTTGTACAATATGTGAGAACCTATATAAAAAATTGATTTAGTTCTTCATAATGTGATTTACATGAAAATGCAAGAAAAGCGAGATTTAGAAAAGTTTACCAAGTTTTTAGCGCTTAAAGCTGCTCAAATTATAGTTCAATCAAGATCTGGTACAAAAATTAATACAAAATGCAAGCCTCATTCCTCAGGAGTAGATTGGGTAGTAATAACTATGATTTGAAAATATTCAGTTGTAATAATAGTATAATGATAAATGTTTTTGTATGTTTAGTTCAATCTTTCAATTCAAGATTCATTAGATGTCCTGACAGAAGCAAGGCAAGTTCTTTGTAAAGAATTAATCAGCTCTATAAATCCCTTTTGCATTGAAATTTCGTTAAGAACAATGGAAAATGAGGTCATGGTGCTGGAGACATGGAGTCTTGGAATTTTGTTTGAACAAAGTGATCCCACAATTAAGATTACTTATACTGTGTACAACAGAATGGGAATGCTTTTAAAATCCTTATTATCTGTGTCAAGAGTTACGCCCGCTTATAAATTGAGTCGAAGTCAAGGGCCTGATTCATTTATTATTTGTTACAGAACATACATGGGACCACCACAAATTCATAGCTTAGGTTTGTCATTTTTATTAAAATTTAAATATTAATGTGTGAAGATAAATTATGCTGTATAATAACTGTGGATTTCAAAAACATGATTAAGTAAAAATTTTCTACATTATTCATCTTTAAATATGTTATGTTAGTATTAACGATGAATACTTAAATTTAGTTACATAATAAGAAACCAGCATAAAAATAAAGAAACTTTGAATTGGATTTTAACATGATCTAAATATTGATTCATGTTGTAAGAAGACTTCTGTTTAACAGAACCTCAGAGCCTATGTTTGTTATAGCTAAGAGCTTGAGTATCAGAAAGTATAAAGATTTTGAGTGCTAGTATTGAGTCTCAAAGCAGAAAAATTATGCACATTCTGTTATTAGTAATGTTTCCAAGAGAAAATGTAGATTTTAAGAAAAAGCATCTCTTTTGTACTGTTTATTTATGTGAAATGAAATAATATGTACATATAATTAAACTTCAAAATTTTATTATATTCCTCAAACACATTTCTTACGTTTTTAAATAGTAAAGAATTATTTAATCACCATTTGTTTACTACTGTTAAGACGTATGATGTAGTATATAATCAGGAGTTTCTATACCTTACTGGTTACCTTTTGATTAATTTTTATATAACATTAATTTTATGCTTATCATTAAACAAAAATTTTTTAATGAATTAAAAACAATACCTAATTATAAGAGTTATCAAAGTTCAGATTTGAGACAAGTAATAGAATTTCTTAAGAAATATTACTTTTCATCATCAGTCATTTTTTTTTTTCATTATCAATG